AGGAAATATGCCTATTACATCTCACTTGAATTGCCAAGTTTCTGTGAAGTTGAACTTGCCCTTGACAAAAGTGGGGGAAAAATACATTTTTTAGCCTATGTAATTTGGCCCTTTAGGCAAATTTTAATATAATGTTAATTCATATTTATTTAGTTTTGATTTCCAGTCTGCAAATAGAATTCTTCTTTAAATTTATTTATTTTAAAAGAAAACATTTATGCCTCTTTCACTTAAATCATCCTTCACCATTAATTTAGCCTGTGTTTTTGGCAAGGGCTTTTTCAGGCTTTTTGACTATTTTAGTTCTACAAAAAACAAAATAAAGACTATTTTAGCCATAACAAACAAAAACATCACATCTCCAAACCTTATAATCATTACATTCTTTCTCTCACAAAAAAGAAAAATTAGCCTTTAAGCCTAAAATATCCTTCACAAACCAGCTTTTATTTAGTCTGCAGGAAATTGGAGCAAAGTCAATAGATTTCAAAATATCTAAGCAATAGAAATCTATGGATTTTCTCTCTGTTAGTTTGGATACTGAAATAATTGAGAAAGAATTTAAAATCTACAGCTTCACACATTTTTTTTGTTTATGATAAAAATATATATAGATTTATTTTTATTTTTTGTTTATCTAATTTAATTAGTGTTAATCTATATTATTTACAGATTAGTGGTGTAATAGTACAACCAAATATGCACCACATTCTTACTTAAGGAGGTGCCACCCTTCCTACTTAAGGAAGATGTGAAATATAAGTGAGAGACAAATATCTAATTATAGAGAAAAAAATAAGAGAATTAAAAATAAATGAACATTTGAATTATCAAATACACACGCTTGATAAATTTCATATAGTAAACTCAACCGACAGTTGCTTCTCTCTAAAGTAAAGAGAAGCATGCACTTACATATGCTCTAAACAAATATAAAAAGAAATTAAAACGCAACAATCATAAAATTGCATATCAAGTAATAAATAAATACTTGCGGCACAAATTTAAGTTCACATGAGAGCACATTTCTATAAGCGATAAGTTGGAATTGCAAGCAAGTGTTTGGCTCTTGGCAATGACAAGCCAAATTTCTCACTCATATTCAATCATTTTGGTTTCATCCCATTAGGCAATTCCCAATCAAAGCAATGCATCAATGAGCCACTACCAACCGAATGTTAGTAGCCCAAATGCATCCCGGGCATCCCCTCCGACCTGACCCGAATGCGTATAAGTTGAAATCCCTTCCCGGATGTCCACGTGTCATTAATGAACCTCTCGGGTAAAACTCCCAGCATTGTCAGACCAGATACTTGGGTCTCGCCCATAGCCCAAGAATTCACCAAAATCGTGAATCTTAGGTATGAAATAGCCATCGATGACATATCCTCCATGTATTCATGTGGAGCAATAATGGAGCGACTGGGGTGAATCCCTCAAAGTCTCTTTAATAACCATTCTAAGTACTCAACTTTACCAAATCCGTTTCTGCTACCATTCTCTTCTCCTTCAACGACACTCATGAGTTCTTGTTGGATCTTTTGAGCCACCCTTGGTGGTCAGGATCTCGACATGACCCACTCGATTGCAGATGCTCGAGAGGTGTCGATTGCTCCGACAATCATTTCGACTGCGATCGCCTTGATGTTTGCGATCTGATGGAGTAGGAGGGCTCGTCGTGGTTGTTTTTTGAGGATTTGTTGTTCATTTAATGACAACATCTACATCAATGAAGTCTTTTTTGTCATGGGTTTTGGTGAAATCTAGCAGGTCTTGTTCGGTGCTCGGGTGATGATGATCTCCAAGGATTGTGTTCATGTCTTGCTTGTTTGGCGTTTCTTCTTGGATGCTTGAGTCAAACCTATTCAAATGCAAATTTAGAAGCCATATGGTGACATATATTCAATGTAACATTTGTGTGTGTGTGTGGTGTTTTTGAGTTACTTTTTATTATTTTATGGTTAATTAGCAGGACCTCCTCTTAATATTGAAAAAACATACAATAATCTCACAATCTTAATATAAATTAATTAATTGAGTCTCTTTGTAATTTTAATTTATATAAACTTAGTCTTATTTTCAACAATAATTGTTAGGGTATATTTGATTTAAAAAAAAAAAGATGTCAATTTTTTTTGACATAAAAGTATATTTTACATTATTATTGTTTTGTGTTTTTCGCAATATCGCATTAGGTGGTCCATTTAAAACTTTAATAAAAATAAGAGTCAGTAATTATATCAAAACTGTAAAATTTATTTATTTTTTTTCATAATTTGAGTAGAGTCGATGTACTTTACCTTTTATTTATTCATTTATTTTGGGTCAAGAGAAAAAAAAATAGAAATAAAAGAAGGGAAAAATCATTAGACATCACATCTGATTAAGAAGTTTATTAAAATATTTTATTATTTATTTTTTTTTTCCTTTCCGCTGTTGATTATATGATAAAATTAAAAAAATTTAAAAACACTTTAAAACAAATTACGGAGATTATGACATTTGGAAAGATTGCATAAGAGGTGAGAAGTTTGATGAAATATTTCCGTGATATATGACATTCATCTTTAAAAGTGGAGTTGGAATTAGGGAGCTTTGTTTATCATACAAATAAAAAGGTCATATTTTCTTTAAACAAAATGTGTCTTTAAATTTTTTTTTTTTAAATTATATCAAAACATTTACTTTTTTGATATATCTTATTTAAACATATCTAAAATGTTTAAAAAAACAAAAAAAAAACAAAATTCCTCAATCCGTCTTAGTCAAATAGAAACCCAAAAAAGTTTTTTTTTAATTTTTAAATTCACTAAAAAATCTAACAAACGTATTTTATTTTTAAATATTTCTATTTTTTCTTTGTGCTGCAGAACACTTGTGGATATAGAGGAGTATGAATAGTGCTCCATAATATTATGATTGATGAAAAATATAAATTATTGTGAAATATTAAAGAACATATTAACTAAATAATTTTGATATAAAGAAATATAAAACACTTCTAAAAGTAACTAACCACTCATTTGCATGTGGGTTTGACATAGATTGGATTATTTTAGATAAAAAAGACAAAATAAATTTTTAATCTTATATTAAAACTACTACATCCAAATTATAATCAATATATTTTTTATTTCAAAAAATCAAAAAAATTAAAAAAAATCTATCCCAAACAAAATTATTTAATTCAAATTAAAAATGTCAAAAAAACTAAAAAATTCAATCCACATCCAAAAAATTTTCCTTCCAGCAAAGTAAGCCTCAATAGATATACGTCCAAAGTACAGCTTGAATAGTGGGTCTGGCCCGTACGTTTATGACATCTTTTCCTTACACAAAAATAGAGTTCACATGGTGTGCATGTTCGCTTTTTATTCACATTACTTTATATAAAAAAATTAAAATAATCAATTTCTAAATTCACAAACAAGATGATCTTAGTATTGTTGTCAATTATTTTTTTTATAAATGTAATAAATTAATTATTAAATCAATTTTATTATTATTTGTAATGATATATATTACCAAAAGAATGACTTGAATTATAAAAAATGAATCCCGTAACAGGTACGAATGAAATCCTTTAATCCAAATCTAGAGAAAGGGATGGGCTTAGGGCCCACCACAGGTCGAGATTCGAAGCCCTCTGTATTTATCATCCACCAAAAAAATTAGATTAATCCAATATTATAATTTTTTTAATTTTATCATGCCTATTTCTAAAATAATGAAGTTTATTTTTAAAAACATATTTATTGTCTATTTTTTTAGAGATAAACGAGATAAAATAAAAAGTTACGATTATTAGATAAATTTAATTTTTTTAATAGATAATAAAAATAATAATTTCGCATTTTAGGTAAAGCAAGTGTAGTTAATTTCATAAAATTATGGCAAGGTTGATTTGTAGGTTTTTTTGGCTAAAAACAAAAATCAAAATAAAAGTTACAGGAAAAAAAAATTATGTCATATAATATCATATCATATCATATGTATTAATCAATAACTTTTTTTCCTTACAACTTTCTATTCAATTAAAAAAATTATTTCAAACGCACTAATTTTTTTTTTTTTTCACTTTATAAAAAAATTTAAAACCCAAAAAATCACTAAAAAGATAAAGCTGCCAAACGGGCACTTAAGGGTTGGTTTGGAAACCTCCTACATTAACAAAACAATTACTAACAAAATCAAAATGTCAAAAAATTCAAAGAACTATTTAAAATAGTCAAAATTTTTATTTTTTTCTTTTTTTTACTTTTTATACGTTTTTTTTTTTTGTAAAAAATTAAAAAAATTATTCAAAATGTACTAATTTTTTTCACCTCATATTTTAACCAAAAAGTGAAAAAATTTTATTCACGTTAATACACAAATAAATATAATTTATCTTAAATTTTCAACCTAATACCACAATACTATGGGTTCATTTGGGATATGGGTTGGCTTTTTAGAGGTGTTTTGGAAAGATGGTTAAAAGCTGTTTTTAATTTTTTTGGATTTTTTGGGAGAGAGGAAAGTAGGTTAAAAGCTGGGAAGTGACTTTTAACCCACTTTTCAAAATAGGCCTTAGCTTTTTGACTATTTTAGCCTAGGACTAAAAAGCCTCGTTTGGGATAGACTTTTTGACTTTTTTGACTTTTGTAAAAGAAAAAATGAAATGATTATAGTTTTGATGTAACATTTTGTCTTATTGACTTTTTAATGTATTTTATCTTTTTGTGACTATTTTAACCAAAAATCCTTAAGCTTTTTCATGCCAAACGAGCACTATAATTTTCGTTCTTATAATTTTAGGCCTTATTTAGGGAGTAACTATTTTAACTAAAAAGTTAAAAAAATTATTATAAATTATCACATCACTTTCTCTACTTTTCTACACATTTTTCACAAAAAATTAAAAAAATATTAAAATAACTTATTCTCAAACCATCTTAATCCTAACTTTTGACGAGCCAACATCATCTTAGACTTATCATAGCATAGAAAAGTGAACATACCTGGAGGTCAAATGGAGCCAAGATAGGGACAAAGTCTGCAATATTGAAAGCTCCCAGTATTACCAGAGACTTCTGAACAACAGCCTTCAAATCAAACCTCTCATCACTACTCCTCCCAAACACCATCTTACAAGTCATGTCCTCTATCACTCCTTCCACCTTCTCACTCAAATCTACTACCTCACGCGCTACGGCCGCCACCTTCAACCGCCGCACTAACGCTTCCATCTCCTCCCTTCTCATCACTCCATACCCATCAATTTTCCCCACACTCAATAATTTTAAAGTACACAATTTCCTAACACTACGCCAATACGACCCGTACGTTGTAAAAGCCATGCCTTTGTTCTCATAGGTCAGGTACTTGGCCGTTTGGATATTCGGGCGACTAGCGAAGACTATGTCGTGGGTCTTTAAGAAGAGCTCGGCCACGCGTGGGGATGAGACTACGATGGTTGGGATGTTGCCGAGTTGGACTAACATGATTGGGCCGTATTTTTTAGATAGGGCTTCGAGGGCACGGTGGGGGAGCATGCCTATCATGTGGAGGTTCCCAATGATTGGTAAAGCCCATGGACCGGGTGGTAAAATTTTTTGACTATTTTTTCGACGACGGAGGTGGTGGAGGAATGACCACCAAATGGCTCCAAAGAGAAGGGAGAGAATGGCAAGTGTGTAAGGGCTCATGTTGTTGGATAGGTAGTTGAGGTTGGAATGTGATAACTATGATAAAAGCATAATGCCTAGCCAACCTCCCAAATTTATACTTTTTTTCATCCTAAAAATATTAGTCTCTTATTTTATTTTTTGTTATCTCAAAATATTAATCTTTTTTAAAATGACACATCTAAATCATAATTATTTTATTTTTTTTCTCTAACAAAAGTTAAAAAATAAAAAAATATATCCCAAATAAATTTTTTTAAGTCAAACCTAAAATAATCAAAAAATTAAAAATTCAATTCACATCCCAAGCGAAACTTAAGAATTATCTACTAATCTTTTTCAAAAAAATTCAAAAAATGTGAATGGAACACGTATCAAGTCCCATCAAGCCTACTTTTTTATGCACAAGGAAAAGATTATGGTTGGTCTTTTGACAAAACATTGGTAAAAAACTGCGTTTGTAGTTTGAAAATAATAAATAAATAAATAAATTACATTGGCTTTTTTAACAAGAAGCCATTTGGCAAGGTAAAAAAAAACCTACTTGAAAAATTATAATTTTACCAAGTTTCTTGTTTTTTTTAGAAAGTGATTTAGGAAGTTAGAGCATCTCCAATGGTAGTAGGCATTTTACCTATCTAAATATTACTATAAACTATACATTTTATTTTGCCTGTCAACGATTTCATGTTTCTACCCCAACCATGCTCTTTATTTTAGCTATTCATCCAAATACTATTAACTTTATAGAATGCCACGTCAGCAACAAAGATGGAGGGAAATAATCTTAATGATTAAATACATTTTGCCTAGCCTTGAAGGCTAGCTACATGTAGCTAGTGAATGTGAGCTGAGTCAAAATGCCTAAGCATATGCCTAGTGCATTGGAGTTGAAAAAAGTGGGTCACATTAGGCATTTTGACTAACAAGCATCATATGCCTAGTGGGTTGGAGATGCTCTTAGTAAAATGTTACTTTTAGTTTTTTTTGTTAATATTTGTTTATGTTGTCACATCACAATTAAATGACCAAAATACTCCCACTCAATTTAGTAAATTTACAATTTCACCTATTTGTAGCTCATTTTGATCCATGAAGGGTATATCCCCCCCCCCAGATGGTTTTAGTGGTGAAAAGCCATTTTAGCTTTTTTGAAAAGAGCTGCAAAACCCAATTTTTTTTGCAAGTTGCGAAAACGCACTATGTACACGGCTTTATCATATACATATTATAATTAAAAAAAATAATATAATAATATAGATTTTTAAATTATAATTAAAAATGTTATAATTAAATATTACATGAAACATAATTAAAAAGTTTATGAGTTATAATTAAAATATTATTATAATTAAAAAAATTGATGATAATTAAAATAAAATAAAAAACATAACTAAAAGATATATAATACATCCCTTTCAAAAAAAAAAAAAAAAACGGGTTTATACGTTGGGTAAAATGTTGCTAATGTTACTGTTATGATTATTGTTAATGTTGTTATTATTGTTGTTATCGTTGTTGAGCTTAATGTCTTATGAGGATTGTCACGCCCCCAAAATAATACAATAAATCCAACTCATAAGCGGAAGAATAATAGAAGCAACATAATTTCATTCATCAGAGTTTGTATACAAAAGATAACACATGCGATATACATTCACAAACTGTTCATCCTGAATCTACAGCATGTGTTGCAATAATGAAAGAACAGAAAACTAAACAAATAATTATATGCCCTAAAGGCTTACATCTTTCCAAGTTGCTACTTGGTCAATCACATCATAATATTATTTGAAAACTGATATTTTATTCAGAATTTATAAACAAAAAAAAAAATTATAAAAAATGATATGATTTTTTTTTTTAAAAAAATAGGCTTCTCTCATATTGAGATCTTAATATAAAAAAATTTGATAGATTTATAGTAGTCATTATGGATTTCATTTTGATAATTCAGAATGTTCATTTTATAGAACACTCAATATACGTTATTCATGAAAAAAATTTATTCAATTCAATAATTATAACATTTTCATTTTAACACATTTGTCTTAGAAAAAATGAAAGATAAATATTTATTTGAAATATACGTCTATTTTTTTAGAGACAAATGTAATAAAATAAAAATGTTACGATTATTAGATTGACCTAAATTTTTTTATAAATGATATATATTGAGGGTCCTACAAAATAACAGTGTAGATCATTGAAATAACATCCATAATAGGCGCTATAAATTTTTCAAATTTTCTCATACTAAAATTTCAGTATAAGATATGCACAACCCTCAGGGCCCGTTTATTTTTAGAAGTAGAATGGAGGAGATTCGTAGTGAAGGGATTAGTAGTGAAATGATTGTTAGTGAGAGGATTGATAGTGAAGGAATTAAGTAAAATTGTGTTTGTTTTTATGATAATTGTTACTGTAGAGATTGTTAAATTATTTTTATATAAAATAATAAAACAAATAAAAAAATACAAAACCATTAAACATTAATGTTAAAAAAAAAGTCCAACATGTAAAAATAAATAAAAATAAATAAAACAAATAAAACAATGATTTTTACTTAACAAAAAATACAAAAAAAATTAAACATTAATGTTTAAAAAACATGCCCAAGATGTAAAAAATAAAAAAATAGTTCGACAGATTATTTTCTAATACTAAATCTCAAGCCTCCATCCTAATCCCCTCTGCCCATCTTAATTAGGGAATTGTGAATCCCCTCTCCATCTCTCAAAAAAATAGAATATTAATAGATCTCACCTCTATCTCAATCATAATCCTCCTCTCTATCTTTCAAAACAAACGACCCTTAAAAAAAATATGTACAATTCTCCCATTTGACTATCAACTATGATAGAGACCCTTTTTTGGAGGATTCCCAACCCCCAAAGTGATCTACACCACTAAAATGTGAGACTCACACATACATAAATGAGCCTCATACATTATGAATGGTATAAATCACTTTAAGAATTGTGGAGTCCTCCAAAAAGGAGGTCCCATTCACTTTCCTTTGACTATAGGGCCCCGTTTGTTTTAAGAGATAGAATGGAGGGGGTTCATAGTGAGGGGATTAATAGTAAGGGGATTAATAGTGAAAAATTGTTAAATTATTTTTATATAAAATAATAAAACAAATAAAAAAATATAAAAAAATTAAACATTAATATTTAAAAAAAAATTCCCAATATATAAAAAATAAAAAAAAATAAAAAATTTCTAATCCCCCAGACTATTTTTCTAATACCAAGTCCTGAAGGCCCATCCGAATCCCCTTGAGGAGGCCCATCATAATCCGGAGCTCACTATCAATCTCCTCCTCATCTTTCAAAATAAATACAATATTAGTGGGTTCCACCTCACTACCAATCCCAATCCCCCCTTTAAAAAAAGGTAAGAAATGACTGTTGGCTTTTTGGCTTTCGAAGGTTATTATTGTAATTATGAGCGTGCCAGTAAGGATCAATCAGTCTTTACAGAAAATTAATTGACAACCAATTATCAGACGATTGTGTTTTAGTTCTTTCAATCTCAATGAAGAGGACTTTTACTGGTAGCTTGATTTAGGAGAATTAAGCAAATAACAATCAAATGAAGAGCAATTGAAGCATTTCATTAAAATGAAAACTTACAATGATCCAATTCAGCCTCGTAGAGGTTTACAGCAACAATCTACTTGAAACTATTCCTATGAACAAAGTGTAGTGCAGGAATTAAAGTACAGAAATGTAAAGAACAGGAAATGTAAAAATTGGAAAGGAAATAAAGTAGAATAAAACTAGTTTTTTGGATCTGAGTCTGGGGCCCTTTTCTAGGGCCTTCTCTGCTATTTATACTTCTCAAGGATGACCATCGAAACTGCACTTCCAACCGTCGAATCGCTCCTCCATAATCGCTGATCATGTTGCCTTATAGTTAGCTCCACTATGCCATCACTTGCAGATATGCTTCCCTCCTAATTTTGAATTTGAATGTGAGTAACCGTTGAAGCCACATCACTTTATATCTCTTTGTTGATCCAATGCTACGCAGATCTCGTCCACGTATTCAATCATGCTTGAAAACTTGAATAGTCTTCCTGTATTGCGCTTATCCTGCCACGCGTTGAATTGTAATTGGCTTATACAAAATATGTAGCCAACATTACCCCCACACTAATATACCCAATACTTGGTGATATTAGTGGATCAATGTCTTTTATCCACGTCTTAGAACGTGGATGGGCTTTGCATTCTTCCAGAAATGCAACCGTCATCCATCATTTGCATTAAATTCTCTTTTAATCTTTTGAACATCCCACTACCTTACTATTCGAACAGATTGATACATCTTTTATGGCCAAACCATTTCTCTCTTCTATTGATCGAGTATACGAAGAGTCATCTGATGATGCTGTTCTCTCTCGAAAGAACCTTCATGCATTGATTGGCCACCTTTACCCACCTTTCTATATTTAAGTCATGGAAGCTTTTGCAAATTATCAACCCTTGGACTACGAACACAATGTCCACAATCCTTTGATTTAGAAATTTGCAAATATGGACATGGGAAGTTCTTCTTTTAATCCACAATCTTCTGCATGGGATGAGGCTGTGGCTTCTCCTTCCTCTGAGGCTTCTGGTTGGAGAAACTGGTCGGAACCTGAGGCATGTGAGTTAAGGGAGCGAGTTAATCACCACTTTGTTGAGCTCACTGATCCTCTAGAATTCCCTTATGATGCTCGAAGTTCGGTGGTTTATCCTTACGTGCCCATCGACCGCCGACACAGTTTAGAGGACAATCAGCTTGTAGCATGGTACACATCCTTCATGCCTACAAAGATAGTACAAGCTACCTGACGCCCAGAAGAGGCACAAGGGTATAACACATCGTTCTTAGCCCAGAAGGCGAGGCTTTGCTCTTTTGACTGGCTTGATTATGTTAATGCCCTTCCCCCTTCTTTCGAAATGGAAGCCTCTATACTTCTTCCTCCGCAAAATCTCAGCTGGACAGAGAGACTGAGGCTTACCCTCTCTGCGGACAAGGTTTTCCCTCCTTACATGCCTCCACCTCCCCCTACTCCAGGTCAACGAA